GAATTTTTTTGAATTTTGAATTGAATTTTTGAAAATTTAGAATTTTGAACACTCCCTAGTGTATGTTAGTACTATTTACCATGAAAAAATCATAGAAAAATTGCTTATCCCATTGGCGACGAAGTGGGCCTGTACTATGAGAATAACGCTATTTGTGGCTGACCCCCCAGCATTTCCCTTGTTTCCCTTAAATAGTAATTTTGTTAAGGACTTTTCTTGGTTACGTTTTTTGCTGGACCCTTCTTGCATCTTTTTCAACATACGCTGTGACTTGTTATTTGAATTGTATAGATTTTTTTTCGATTATTTCTGATGATCACTCCTGCTTCATGATTTATCCTAATTTTCTGAATTTTCGTGTTTTTCGATGAAAATTATTTTAAAGAGCATAAGATTGTGCTTCTGATATTTGCAATTCTGTAAGTTTATATGCGTGTCTTTTTTCTGCTTTTACTCGTTTTGCCCTTCCAGGAAACTTTTTGACCCAACTTCGTCACTGGACAGAATTAGGCCTATGAGCCATGAAACCATATTATGTTTTTTCGAGGAAAAATTGTGTTACGAGGGCCGAATTAAGCCCTTTTTTTTCGCTTATCTTGCACTATTTTTCTTGTCATGAAATACTCATTTCATCAGGTTTAGGAGGTTTTTTTTTTTTGTTTCTCCTTGTTTCCGCATTTTTCCGTTTTTTTTTTGCACTGAATTTTTTTTTGTTGGGTTCAGTTTTTTTGTTCGGCTACGCTCAGCAACGCTTCCTGGGTGTTGTACATCCCGGGACTTGCTTCTCACCGACTATATTTATTTGGTTAAGATGTTTTACATGTTGCTAAAGGTGCGGGATCCAAGATTTTTGATCCGCAACTGCCGTAAGTTGGGTCAAATTAGGTTCTTGAAGTTTTCTTGTTGTTCTAGCAAAGCATATGTAGCAAGAAACCACCAACCATATTTATTTGGTAAAGATGTTTTACATGTTGCTAAAGGTATGAAATCCAAGATTTTTGATCCGCAGCTGCCATAAGTTGGGTCAAATTAGGTTCCTGAAGTTGTTCTATTGTTCTAGCAAAGCATAACCATTTTGCCTGTAGCAAGTAACCATTGTGCCCGTTCCATTATTGCTGTAAAAATCACTCGAAATTGAGGTAAATTAGCGTATCAGCTGTTGTTATCACTATATTCGTCATAATCTTATCGCTGGTAACTCTCTTCCCTTACTCTCTTCCATTTTCCTTTCGATTACCATTTAGCTGTGCTTGATCTTTGTCACCGCTCGTGAATTTACTAGTAAAATCATGCTGTTTCATATTTCGTTCTGACATCATATTTGGTTCAGGGAAATCCGAAAAGCAGTATATTTTTGTGATTTTAATTAAGCTATATATTGGTTAACTAATGCTTGGGATGAATGTCGGGGGGAGGGTAGATGGCTTTGATTAGTTTTTACTAAATTTGGTTGAAAATTTTATTGCGGCTGACGGGTTTATTTTTTTTTGCCGTGGTTGGTGGATTTACTTTTTTCACCGCGATTGACGAAATTACGGTCAAGAAATGATGCTGCCAGCGAAAATAACCAAAGGGAAGAGTACTGTACGGATAGAGAAAAAAATTGCCAGATCTTGAAGACAAACTTGTTTTTGGCTCAGATCATTTGACTATTTCGAGGGACATTTGACCGCTCCAATATCCTTGACGCGTGATTTTTGTCAGTAGTGGAATATTTGAGAAACCTTAAATTTGGGAGTAAAGGAGTACTTAAGAAACTTTGCAAAAACTACGGTATAAATTATCAAAACACTTTTGTCAGTAGTTCTTTTCATCGTTCTTTCTCACCACCGATGCTGTTGGCAGCTTCTCCATTCTTTGTTTTGTACTTCACTCATCCATATAATTCCGTACAGGCGCCCAGTTGGACGTTTCACACTCTTTGTTCTCTCTCTGTTTTTTTCTCTTTGTTTCGCATAGCAACCTTGCATATTAGTCACATGACTATTCTAGTACATGGCGGGTAGGAGGCTGTACTGATGATTTCCGCTTTTGCACGTACGCAAAGTTCGGACTGTGTTTACAGCTGAGGGATGAGACGCAGACTGCATCGTAAAATGTCTTCTTACATATGATACAGTTCAACTATTCCCACCGTATTGGTCACTCTCGCAGTGTCCTTTAAAATTATTTAAATGTAAACTTCACAACAGATATAAATTTAAAAAGATTGTTAGTTCAAAAAAAGAAAAACTTTTGCCATCAAATATTCGCTTTTTTGGGGAAAAGGCCAATGACGCCACCGAATATCATCGATAAAAAATTACAATAAATGCGCATATGGAGTGAACTATTTTAATAAGTGTGTTATTCTGTCAACAATACGGACGAGAACCGGCTGCCGCGAGCACCGCCGGCAACAGCTCATCGATCCGGACGATAGCACGAGTGGAGCAGTCGTTTTCTTCGCCACCTCACTAAGCAACGCCGGCCGGATGAAGAAGTTCCTCTTTTGCACTCTACGCTAGCTAGCACCGCGCACTGTTCAAAAAGTTCCTTTTGATTCTCGAAATCTAGGATTCCCCGCCTAAGATATTTATAATCCAGGATCTCCTTTTTTTTCGATTTTTGAAATCCTCGATTTTTTTGATGATGAATTCGGGTCCCTTTTGATACTAAAAATTCGAGTTTTTATGGTCTTTTGTCACCAGAGAGTCAAAATTCATGCCAGAAATCCTGACTTTTCAATATCCGAAATCTCCCTCTGTTTCAGTACCCAGTTTTTGGATTCGTTGCAATCAGTTCAGGAAGAAAGGTTTCGTGTTCTCTTAACGTTGCCATGAAGCTTTATTCCCTTAGTCGTCAGATTCCGAGATTATCCAGAATTTTGACGCGATGATCCTGACTGTTTGTACAGTAAATACTAGCTCTTGAATTAGCCAAAATCACTGCTATTTTTATTTGAAATAATGAATGGGGTAGATATTTGAGTCCAGGGGTCCAGCTAAGGACATATAGCCAGAACATAGGTGGGCCTTACGTCTTGTTGTCTCTCAGCGACAAGGGGGCGCGGAGGGGAAGAAGGAGAGGGGTGATATCTTACTGACAATTTGAAGCTTTTGAATTTTGGAGAAGTAGGGGCCGGGTAAGTTCGTTGGTAAAGTCACATCTTTCCATAGCTCATTATTTTGCTTGAAAATGATTCATAATAGACCAAAAAAATACCAAAAAAATATATCTGATACCACCAGACATTATGGCCACATCTTGTTTGCACCGATACTTAAATGACTCTCTTATCAACGACTCCGATTCGTATTCCACTTAGTATTGGCTCGAACGGCAGTATGGAATTATGTGGTTGAGAGAAATTTAAACTGGAGAAGAGTGGCGAAGATGCCAGCTGCATCAATGGTGAGAAGAAACGCGATGATGAAACAGTGTCTGGATTAATGTCTTGATAAGAAAAAGAATAGCTGCGCTTGATAATATGCCGAATATGACAGATAACAGTTGGATGGGATGAAAAGTTGCCCTTGTTATGTGAAAACAATGGTTAAGCGGTCAAGTGCATGCTGGATCAACTCACTAACTCACATATTTGGGCCATATGGATGAAGAAAATAGAAGACGAACTACGATCGAATATTGCCTTGAAATTCAACAGTTTTTGTTCTGATTCCATGCTTTTCCGGCTACCTTTTTCCTGGAATAATAGAGCAAGAAAAAAGCGGTAAGCAGAAGGCGAACTGCATTCCCGTACTACTTGAAATTCAATAGTTTTTCTTCTAGTTCCATGGCCTTCCGGCTGCTTTTTTCCTGAAATAATAGAGAAAGAAAAAATGGATCATAATTGTCATGCCCAGTTGCAGCACTAAATGGAAATGTATGCGACTTAATGAACCGAAACATTCCAATCCATTTTTTACTTACTTTTAATTGATTACTTTTCTTTTAGTTACAACCTTTTTCATAACTTCATAAAACATTCAAATTGCTATTTTCCTGAAATTTGAACGTAAAAGCAATCTTTTTGCTTATGACGAAGATTGAGTGTTTTTTC